CCTGATTTTTTTTTTAAGTGTAAATCTCCGTTTCACATTTGATGTTTTAATACCCACAACTGTTGCTGATGTGAGAGAATTCATGCACTCTTTCATTTCCAATCTATGCATCAGAGTTGTTACCAGTAACAAGGCAGAAAAGACTCTGCTGTTTCCAAATCAGAGGAACTACTGACCATATTTAATCCCATGAAACTCTATAGTCATGGCAAGTTCTACAGTAGCTACCAGAGTATGTTAAAAATTGATAAAGGCATCAAGTTTGGAGTTGTTTGTTTTTTTTTTTTTTTTTTTTTAAAATGATACACTAAGTCTAACACCCTCAACACTTCCATTACTGTTTAACTATAAGAAAGGTATGAGCATGAAGGAGATGGAATCTCCAGGTCCTCAATACAGATCATTACTGCTACACAGCACTAATTTTTTGATTTAGGAAAACAAAATTTTACTGAAAAGGAAAATTCTTGGGTTCCAATCTTTGGTGTCATGTGAAAACAGGTAATATTACCCCTCCTATGAATCAATAAACATGCATTTAGAACCTGATGAGAGTTTGTGTACACCCTCTTGTTGTCTCCTTACCTTTTTTTATTCTACCTCCTTCATCTGAATTTTATCTATTTCTGTCCACCTGTTCCTTTTCCAACTGTAATACTTCCGTTGTTTTTCTTTGGCATGACAGCCATTCTTGATAGTCATGGTACTCTCTATTCAAACTCTGCACTTTCAGTTAAACTTTCTTCAATATGCATGGCCAGAATTGAACACAGTAATCTAAACAGAATAAATGTTTTCACAATGACTAAAATTTTATGTATTCTTCAGTTGCATTTACTTTTTTTTTCACAGTTTCCTACTCCTGTTTTTTTTTGTTTTGTTGTTTGGGGTTTTTTTGGTACTAACAAGGTACAGAGCTTTTTTCCCCTCTTCTGCCACTTTCCATCATTAGTTTTCTTCAAACACAAGACTTGCTCATTCAGATGTATACTACTAAATATCCCATTTGTGTGGCTTCTTAGGGTCATCTAAATACTTCTGTAGAGTAGTCCAAGATGTTCCATATAATAATGTTCCCTTTGGTGTCACTTTGAATGGTCTGATAATTTAACTAACATGCTGCTGCTGTTACACTTTTTATCCCAAGTCTGATCTTTAAAGAATTCCAACAGTAACTTTGTGACATTCTAGTAGTCACATATGGTTCTTTTCTTCTTGAAATCCCTGTACTATTCATCCATTTTCCATCTTAATTAATAATTTCCAGTGTAATGCCAGATAAACTGCTTTACTGAAATTCTGGCAAAATAAATCTGCTATATGTCTTTCTTTTATTTAGGAAACCTTTTATTAGCTTTACAAATAAAAGTTTATTTATTATCCTTTTTATTAGTTGTACTAACTGGCCCTTGGGTTTAGGAAGCTGCTTAAGAAAAGGGATATTGTTTGTGTTCCAGGTTGAAGGATATTAACAACTGTATCCTATTACTATGGGAAAGCTGAGGGTAACAAGCAGGTGATATTCATGCTTGGAGGGGAAGACCTCATGGGTGAAACAGTATTGCGATCTCCAAATGTAATAATCCAACCTAATTATACAAAAGAACACAGTAAACTGGACAAAGTTTTTTTTTAAAAAAGTACTTCAGATATTTATTTTTCTCAATTTCTGATAATTTCAGCAAGATTTTATGGCTTCAATAATTAAGGGTTTTTTTCAAAGTGGAGTATAATACATATGTTGACATTATCCTTTTCAGGTTTTAGGAAAGATTTTGATATAATATAGTATTTTCAGTTTAAATTTTAAAATGTATTTCAGTGAAATAATATTAACTTCTGTGTGTCCTGTTGTGCCAAATTCATATAGTATTGCTTTTCATTTGTTTGAGCAGCAAAATAGTTGATAATTTTCTTACACAGACTATAGAAACGAGCTTCAAAAACATAAGTAAACATAGAAAGGTCCAATACATTAAGAACTAATAAGTTTCTTAATCATCCCAGGGCCTAAGGAGATCAGAATGTAAAAGTTTTTAATTTTTATTTATTTCCACTATAGCCTTTTTTAAAAAATACTGTTTTCATGCAATTTTAAGGTAAAACATATAATTCTATTCTGCTTAAAATGACTTCAACTGGAAAACCAATGAAGCAGACCACAGAAATACAGAAGACAAATGGAATAGTTTCCAGCATTAAAACACAAAAGAGACTATCTTTACTCAAGAATTTCAGCTCACATCTGAGATATTTATAATAAAATATCCCTCTTATGTAAAGTGTCTTAAGCAGTGTGGGAGATAGATAAACACATAGAAAAGTTTTTAATTCTCTCCCTTCAAATATAGTCTAATCCTGGTACGTTTTATTTATTTACTTATTTAATTCAGTGCAGAAGAAAAGAATCATAAGGAATAACCAGGAAAATACTCCTCAGAACTTTCATACTAAAATAGTTTCTCCTATTCTGAATGTTAAAGTCAACCTCTTTTTTCTCATTGAGACATACATTTCTAATATCCTTAGAATTTCCTTTTAAATAAAAAAAATCCATAATTGCCTATATCAAAGCAAAAATCTCAGATGGGGAATGCAGCATATGTCAGTTGTGTGGAACAGCAGTGTAGCAAGAATAGCACCAGAGAGTTGAAAGGTTTGGCCCTCACATATGTTTTCAAGTTTCAGTTCTTGACATACGGGATATTTTTTAAAGACGGCTATTCAGATTAAAAAAAAAAAAATAATAGTAGTATATTTGCTATTTGCTTCAGTGAAACCACTGCTTTTCAGTTTTCAAAGGCTTTCATTTCACCTTTCTGAGACACAGCATAGCTTTTAATTTAAAAGTGTTCTATATGGGTCGTGCAAAATTCAACTGAGTGTTTATTAACTGAAAAGCGTTAAATACATGCTCAGCTGTGCAAAAGAAACATACCTGGAATATATATACATAATCATATGCAGCTCTTCATAATTTTAGATCTATATTTGCAGGGTTATTTGTCTTGATCTTGTCTCTGCCTGTTTACTGCATGGCTCATACACTACTGAAACCAGGTTCTTTTAGAATAACAAGGTTATTAAAGCAGCTCTGTTCGTTTGATCTACTCGATCATTTGAATGCCACTGTGATTTAGTAAGAGAAAGGAATGACAGTTAAGCTTCAGTGGTTTGCAGATGATTTCACAACATAAAACTAACTCATGTCATGGATGAGAAGTAGATCATCTGAGTATATGATACCATAAATTAAATAATATAATATTAATAATGAAGGCATCCGATAGAGCCTATTTAATCCAGAGTTACTCTGAAAATAGGACACAACTGTAATATGACAAACTCATAAAATTAGTTAACACTTTTAAAGCCTGTATTTTTAAATAATTTGAGATTCAATTTTTGAAAATTAGTATCTGTATTTTGTTATAATGATAGGATTATGGGTACCTTGTCAGGCCTCCTGCTGCTCTATAGAAAGGTGCACAATCTCCTAAAGGTCTTGTAATATTGTTGTTTGTGGGCTAAATTAAGGTCCTTGTCTGATTTCTGTATTCAATGACTCTTAGAATCAGCAGAAAGAGTCTGACAACTCCTACTTATATCAACCCTGTATCTTAGGTATGATAAGCACAAATTAACATAAAGGATTTCTTGGAGTTTTTCCAACTGCATAATCAAAACTGAATGAATTGTAACTGGAAGAAATGGGGTGGGCAAAATTTAGTGGGTTGTTAAATTATGCGATAGCATAGTCTACTATGAAACCCAGTAGCCTTAATAAGTCCTTTTTTTCCCTCTATACTTTTTCTTTTAGCTTTTATTAACTATTTCTTTAATAATTAATAATTATTTTTTCACTCATTCCATTCCACATCTGCAGCTGTTTCTCATCCTTTATTCTTTGCTGTTCAGTAGCAATAAAGTATGAGGAAAATAACATGCCAAATATTTGCCTTACTCCATTGCTCCCCCTATTGCCAAGGGATTCTTTACTGACAGCCCTTAGTTTGTGTTCAGTTGTCTACAGTGGGATTCATCTTCCCCACTTAAATATCAAAACCATAGAAGCCAGAATCCAAGACAGTCCTTCAGGTTTCCTATATAGTTACTAGAGAAAAATGGGCACTTACAGAGCACAATTCATGCTGTCCTAACATAAATGTCTAAAATATGTAAGACAAATTATATCCTAAAAGTGCATATTTCTTCCACTGACCATAAGGCAAGGTTAGGACACTTGGCTTAGCTGTAGAGGTCTACAGAAAAATATTTGAAGTTATGTGTGATGAATTCCTTCCCCACCTCTAATTTATTACAGTTCACACTATAGTCTTTTTAGCCACCTAGTTAAAAGCAAGTACTTTAAAAGTGATAAGCATATCACATTACTATAAAATGAATTTTAATAGATTTCACGTTAAAATTTTAAAAAGAGTTATAAAAGAGAAACTTAGAATCTGAACACAAGTAGAATTACAGGTTTAATGTAGTCTGTTTTGACAAGAATCAAATTTCTGTTTACTTGCTGTGTGAATGTAGTTGCCTTCAAAGAAGGTTTCATGGTTCAATGTTTGGCTGAAGCAAGGTACAAAATGTATATATAACGAATCTTATCACTGGGTACATGAATATATCAGACGGATAAACTCAGCTGGTTAACTAGAACTGGCATATACGACATACAAAAGTCAGATGAGTCAAATGACAATTTGTCCTGAATTGGTTTATACCATACACACTGAAATTTCAGGTTTATATTTTTAGGCATTTGATATACATATTAAACAAAAATAATATAGAAAATATATATAAATTACTTTTTTCAAATAAATGTAAGCGTCGTGAGATATAGGAGAGTGTGTACAATGGTGTCTACATTTACTTTAGATGACACCCTCTATTACAATATGCTAGGAGTTATTTACTACTGTGTGTCACAGTTATTCGTCCCTCTTAAGAAGTATGTTTCAACCATGTAATAATACCCTACTCACTTGCCATTTAATGCTGCTACTCCAACAGTGCTTCTGGCAATTGACATACTTGCCACAAAGGTCCACTGCTGACTTTGAGGGTCCCACCTCTCAACTGTATTCAAATAACTCCAACCATCATGTCCTCCCACTGCATAAATAGGCCCTTCAAGCACTGTAACTCCTAAAATGGAGGAGAGAGTGAGAGAAGGTAAAAGTATACTTTCTCTATCAATAGTAAAAAAAAAAAAAATCCCAAAACACAGCTAACAAATGAACTTGCATATTCAAAGTGAAAATGGAAACAGTTTGAGATTTGATAAGGATTAACAAACAGGAATGAAATTAATGCCACTCTACATGGCTTTACAAAAAGTAGATCTTGTCAAACAAACCTAATTTCATTCATTGAGAATTGTTTGCTTCATAGAATAACCTCTCAATATTGTGGTAGTCTTAGATTTCTGTATACTGTTTAACTTAGTATCTCATAAAATTCTGATCATGAATTAGCTCTTTCATATACAAGTTAACCACATGATAAATAAATTATGGACTGAATACTTGATAGATCTCAAATTACTGTCCACCTAAGGGGAATTTCTCTGATTGGAATTGTTTCTACCAGGGTTCCACAAGGAAGGAAAAGAAGCCTGATTCCGATTGAATCAAAAAATATTTCAGAAATTTTGTCGATTTTGTAGAGGAAAATACACATTTTTTCACTAATGGGAAGCTTAGTCGACTGGCATGGGGAAAAAAAAAAAACAAACCAAACCAAAAAAGCAACATATTAAAAGGCTTGAGCAAGTAACTTACATTGAGAAACTTAACTTGCCTCATAAGTTTACCTTATCAAAACAAGAAATAACAAGAATTGATACCTTCACAGGAAAATAATGTTGGATATATAAAGATTCTTTTTTTATCTATTGAAGAAAATCAAAAGAAAATGTAAAGCATGGAAGTTCAAATAGGAAAAATTTAATTAAGTAACAAATTTTTAACTATGAGGGCTTTTAATCACCCATTCAAAGGAACCGATGAATTCTCTATCTCACAGTATCTTCAGTTAAGCCTAGAAGGCTCTGGAAGATAAGTTATAGCTAAGCACCATTTTTTACAGTACAGTGAGCTCAGTAAATCCATTCTATGAATCCATGATCCCAAATGAGCATTGTTCTGAAAAACCTCAGGCTAAATCCAATCCTAAATCAGTGTCTTTTTTTTTCCACTCCATTTCACATTATTTGAACTCATCAAAAAGTCAGAGAACAGTAGATTATTAAAGTTTCTGAGAATGGGTTTAGTTTTTTCTTGCAGAAGAGTCTATCTTTCGTTTAAAACAATGTAAATTTTCCATTTTCTGTGTAGAACAGTGTTTTGTTCTTTTTCAGAGAAGTCATTCGTTCAAAGCTTAATTTGTCTTTAAAACCGTATTTACCAATGAGTTTGATTAAGTGTCATCTCAGGGTTCACTGAATGTGTTCTTGCACTTTGAGTATTGGTTTTGTTTTGGTTTGGTTTTGGTTTTTTTTAGACTGAAAAAATAGACTTTAAGAATTTTTCTTCTTATAAAGTCTGAGCCTTGTCTTTTCCTGTAGAACCTTTTGTGAACTTGTTCTCCAATTTCTTCTGGTATGAAAAGTCTTGCTTATAAATGCTTTTTACTTAATCACATTTTTCTGCTATATTTTTTCCACAGTATTAAAGTGGATATTAAATTGAACTCGTGATCTGTATAGCTTGATATCTTATCTCAAAACACAGCCAGTAGCAAATGTGGGAAGATATGTCAGTGTTTGTATAGAAAATCAGAAGGTTATATGCTGTAGTTGTGATGCTTTTGGGTTTTTTTTTACCCTCATATCTAATAGTTACAAATATTCTTAAATCCTGAACAGGTTTACGTTGTCAAAAAACTATTTGCTGTAACTTGTTATAACAACAGTGTACTCTAGCTTTTCATGTATATAGTCTTCACAATCCAAAGTTAAATAGAAAATCAGATTCTTGTTGGGATAAAAAATTAATCGTATTCAAATAAAGTTTGAGTGTGTGAATATTTCTACACACATACACACATATATAATTGGTGTCTAGATAAACACACAAACCCTCTCTCCCCTTAACACAGAGTTGTATTATTATGCAATGAATTTCACAGTGAAACTATGATGCATGTCAAAACATATATTATCAGTTTTAAAATTTCCACTTTTTACTTCCTTGTATAGCTTATTTGTGCTTTCATTAAGACAGGAGTTGCCCTTATTTATTTTTTTATCTCATTCACTGTTTCATACTTTTTGTCATGTCCTTTCATATTTGAGTATTATTCTCATCTTTTTTCCTGCTGTAATTTAAGATACCCCAATTATTTCAGTCACTTGCAGAAAATTTTCTTTCATTTTATTCAAAATACTGTTCTTCCTGCTTTTTTGAATTTTTATCCCTTTTTTTTTTTTAATGACAATGGAAAATTATTAGCTCATTGTATTAATATAATGGATTTTCTCTCTGAATTTCCTGTCATACTCTTTAACTGAGCTTTATACAGAAAATAGTCTTCACTGGCTTCTCTATAATAAGAGCTTTACTGGGTTTATACAATGCATGTAGAACCCTGTGAGATGCCCAATTCCTTCAGATTTTTTCACAAATGTCTTTTACATTTACCACTTGCTGCTGTGTTGTGAATTCATCTGGCTTTTAAAGTTCATCAGACTGTTCTCTGAACTTGTCTGACCTTACTGAATAACATCTACATATTTTGCTATCATGATGTTCAATTCCGTTTCCACATAAATTAATCTTACATTGACACAGGGAAATGTTACAGTTAGAAAACTGTCAAAATAAAAATGTTGGTTTGGTGTGAGATTCATGTCATGTTAATTTGCCAAAAAGTGTGAATACAGTTACAGCTACACCAATGAAGAATTCTGGAAGTTTATATTACTTGGAGAACTTTAAGGGATTCAGTACAAGATTGCCTGTTTGATTCTGCTTGCATTGCTTCTATAATAGGAAAATTTATTGGTAAAGCTATAGGAAAATTATTCTTTCCATACAGGACAAAGACAGAAATGCTTCTGTACAAAAGTAATCTTCCATGCTTCTGACTACTAGCGCATGTTAAATTGCTATGACTTTACACATTTCTTTACAGAACACTAAATGCATTGATATCGTTACATTTGGTCCTTAAGAGCTGGCCCACTATGTTTTAAAATACTGGACAAATACATTCTGCAATTTTGACTTTCATTCTGTTTTAGTATAGTTATGACTGGATATGTGAGGGCATATCTTCATTTTGGACTATGTAAATTCAATATAATAATGTTCAAAGTCCACTTCTCTAATAAGTAAATTAAAAAAAACAAACAAGGTGCTGCATTCCATGAAAGTAGTGTTTTGTCTATTTTAAGAATTTTGTCTCCTTTTTTTAAAAAAAAAATTGATTTTGATATTTGTAGATATATGAGAAGCATAAATGCAACAGATTGAGAAACCTGTAGTCACAGCTGGTATTGAGTTCCTGTAATGATACACCCATGAAAACTAATGGATGCAAATGTTGTACCTGTAAAGATTGTAAATAGTATGAAGGAATTACAAAAGAACTATTAAAAATCTGGAAAACCTGCTGGAAATTCCATAAGAGATGTAGGGTTTATCAAGATACTTGTTCCAAGAGTTAATTCAATCATAGTGTATATGTACCTGTATAAAGAAAAGATCGTATGATTAATAGTTTAACTGTAGGAGGAATCTAATGACTGTATACTAATACAACTAATACTAATGACTGTATAGTAGTAAGTATAGTAATAGCTGTAGGACGATCTAATGACTGGAATCAGTAACCTGTTAAATTAAGCCTAAGAATAATATACTGTATTTTAACCAACAGTGGTAGGGATTTATTGGAATTATGAATTCAGGAATGTGCTACTTGCTGTGTTGCTTGAAGTTTCCATATCTACACTGATACATTTTTAGACAGACATGATCAAACTCCCTGAGATGGCATGTCCTCCGGGCAGAAGTGATGGGGAGAAATTTTGTGTTCCTTTTGCAGAAAGTCAGTCTACATGATCGCAGCAGTAACTTCAGGCCATAAAATCTATAAGTTTGTATAAATTTGCTAAATTTGGGCATGGATATGACAGTCTCTTTGACTCTGGTATAGACCGTCTCTTTCAGTATTTGTTATGAACTGCATCTATCTTCTCAGTTAACAGCTGAAGGCTGGGTTAGACAAACCTGTCAAACTGGTAATTACAAGGGGTCTAGTGGTGACAGGTTGAAATGACAGAAATGTAAGATTTAGCACATAATTTAATATATCATGACATAGAAAGCGAGATGCTTTGTGAGACAGACATCTTTGTGGAAAAAAGTTAGGCCTCTATAGTGAATCTAATTGCATAACATGCTCGTTTCTTTCTTGTTTAACAGTAAATCCACAGTTTCTCTTCTACTCTTCATTCATGCATGCCCTTTCCCACTCCAGTTGGCTGATAAACCACTCTTCATCCATTGCTTAACACAGCTTAGACAGCAGAGGTATTATGGTGTAGGGGGGATACAAAGTCACCTGAAAATTCATCACTCTATTATGATATATAAAACACCTTTTGGTGGTCCAGTCTATCAAAGAGCACTGTCAAGTAAGAGCAAATCAGTTGAATACACATTCTTGGTGTCCCAATCATACCTCTTTCCAGAAAGCCAAGGAAAACCAAATAGTTTCCTCTGCAGAAAAAAATGGATGTTATTTTGAGAATAGTTTTATCCAGAAACATTTGTCTATTACAGATGGATAGGTTTATGCCATACTTGCTCTGTCAGTCCTCCAAAGATGATTTTGGTGGGTTCAGTGTTCTCATTGCCAGCATAACTTTGTCACATTTATACCACATCATTAAACACTTCTCTACAACTCTGATATTTTTCTCAGATTATTTAAAGATCTTTGGGCTGAAAAAAGCCATTAAAAAGTTAATCCCAAACTAGATGAACACAATATTAGAATAATAGAATAATATGAAGTTTACTAATACAAAGTATAAGACTAACACAAGATTAATAATAATATTACATTGCTGCACTCTGCTTGCAATGGAGGGCCTTACTTACCAGACTAGGAAGACTGCTCTTCCTTTTTCTTGCTTC